TTAAGCCTCCTGATACTCGATTATGTGTCTGATCAGCTAGCTCCAGACTAAACTCGGTCTTTTGCTTAATAAGTTGCCTAAGAAACAGATACAACACACACACACACACACACACACACCCCACACCACACCACAAAACAGAGAAAAATACGACTATGCATCATGTACACAATATTAAGGAATCCAAATCAATCCTTATTCTATTGGGGTTGTTATTAGAAGAAAATAGTAGAAAAGAAGGAAGCCTTAAGAGCCCAGGCTCTGGAGTGGGCTATTGGGATGCAAAGTAATCTAAAGTACTCTGTGCCTCAGTTTCCTCATTAGTGCAAAATGGATGATGATAATATCTCTACCATAAGGTTGTTACAAATATTTAAACTGGTTGTTACGTGTAAAATGCTTAGAATAAAGCCTGGCACATCAGTGGAAATTCACTATTACTCTCTCCATTGGCCTGAAGCTGGCAGCTTTACAATTGCAGCTGTTCACATACCAAAGAAGGTAGCTGATGCAGCTACCTTCTTTGTGGCCCTTCCCTTTAGACCAAAGTAGCACCAGATAGTGCAGTAAAAGATAATGCTCATGTTAGAAAAACCTGGTTCTTTACCTTGAATAGCTTCCCATTTGTTCTATGCAAAGTCAGTGCATAATTTTTCAGTGTATCTGCAAATTGCATTCAGAATAACCATATTTAACTTTTCTCATATAAATGTGGTGGTTGTTCTGGAATGAGATTCAGCTTCCTGTTTGTGTTCTTGTGCATGGTTCACAGCTTGTCAACAGCCGTCTTCAAGCACACAAGAGTCTACCCTGCCTAGCCTGACTCTCCCAGACGTGGCCCTAGGGTATTTGGAGCCATGCAATCTCAGAGTATTTCCCTCCTTCCCTTCCTCCCTTCCTTCCTTCCTTCCTTCCTTCCTTCCTTCCTTCCTTCCTTCCTTCCTTCCTTCCCTCCCTCCCTCCCTCCCTCCCTCCCTCCCTCCCTCCTTCCTTCCTTCCTTCCTTCCTTCCTTCCTTCCTTCCTTTTCTTTTTCTTTCAGCCTCAAAGTCCTGGGCTCAAGCAATCCTCCCACCCGAGCCTCTTGAGTAGCTGAGACTTGTAGTCTCACCATTCCAGGTTAATTTTAAAAATATTTTTGTAGAGATAAGGCCTTGCTATGTTGTCTAGGCTTGTCTCAAACTCCTGGGCTTAAGTGATCCTCCCACCTCAGCCTCCCAAAGTGCTGGGATTACAGGCTTGAGCCACCTCAGCCAGTTATTTTTCTTTAATCAATGAAATTCAGCTTTCTGCTGTCCCCTCCAGGAGTGTGAAGGGCTAGTGTCAGGTTGTTGCTGAAAATATTAGGCAGTCAGAAGGCTGGATCATTCCTGTAGTGGTATTGGCTGAGTGACCAATAGGTCTTCTGCAGTCACTGGAGAAGCCAGCTCGGACCACTCCCCAGAATGTGCATCTGACTCCATGGGCTTCACTCAAGTTGTTGGCCTGGTTTGAATAGTAAACACTTGAGTTTATGACTTCTAGATAATATTTCACTACAGCAGCCAGAGCTCAGGTGAGTAAAAGGGAAAACTATGATATATTTATGGTTTCTCTCTGGCAGTGCCTTAGGACTGGAGGATGGTACATTCTGGAAGGTGCTGGAAGTTGGGCCAGTAGAAGCTGAGGAGACATGAATAAGGCACTGATAGCATCTGCCACAGTCCCCGATAGGTCCGTTCTCATCCACTTACATCCCACTTAAGTTCAATCTGTCTTGTCACTGGCTCTTAACAGGGGTAACTGTTGCTACTTTTAAAAAGGAAAATAGTCTGGGCACATTGGCTCATTCCTGTAATCCCAAAACTTTGGGAGGCCAAGGCCGGTGGATTGCCTGAGGTCAGGAGTTCGAGATCAGCCTGGCTAACATGGTGAAACCCCACCTCTATTAAAAATACAAAAATTAGCCAGGCATGGTGGCACATGCCTGTAGTTCCAGCTGATCCAGGGACTGAGGCAGGAGAGTCGCTTGAACCCAGAAGGCAGAGGTTGCAGTAAGCCAAGATCACGCCACTCCACTCCAGCCTGGGCAACAAAGCAAGACTTCATCTCAATAATAATAATAACAATAATTACTGCAGAAAGGTTAGTGGGCCAGGCTGCACTTCCTACACAGAAGCTGGTTCCAAGGTCATAATTAGTATTTATGATCCCAGACCTTAAAGTCTGAAGGGTCTGAGACCTCTGAGTTACCTCATCTCTGCCAGTCCATAGTTTCTGTAACTGCCCATTTGGTTACTACCAGGAAAGAAAACACCTAGAGACATTCCAAGAAATCCCCTTAAGAACAAGGCACGCTCCCTTATGCCTCTATAATATAACAGCTACTCTATCTTTTCCTGATAATCAGGTAACTTCTTTTTTGCCTGTTGCTCTTATAGACATGAAGAACCCAAAGTAAGTAGATGGCAGCAGTTGCTTTAGGGCTATGCAGTGCCTCCTGTGTCTGCTGGCAGAAGAGCTCTTTGTTTCCCTGTTAGAAACCGTAATCTCTGGTCCAGCAGACTCTAACACTGGGGAGCGTGGGGGAGCGGGAACAAATTCCCCAAGTAGATCATGGGAAGTGATAGTGTCAGAAGCCACTCCTCCTCTTACCCCTTGGTTCCTAAACCCATGACTTCTTCCTGCTGGGGGCATTGTACCCTCAACAACATTGATCTAGACAATATGCCACATTTTGAATGACATTACCCAAAACCTGCAAGTGGCATCCTCAGGCTGGAACCCCAGTTGTACCTTTAAAACACCATTCCAATTTTCTACCAGATTGGCAGCTTTAGGATGATATAGTATAGAGTAGGACCAGTGAATACCATCCCTGTGTGCCAATTATAATAATTCCTTCCCTGGGAAGTAAGTCTGTTGGTCCAGGAAATGTTAGGTGGCATCCTGAAAAGCTAAATCAGACCCTCTATGAGTGCTCAAATATCTTTCAAATGCTAGTGGTATTACAGAAGCCAATCCATCAATATCCCATCAAAATCCATCGTGAATGTTACAGTACACAGGGTAATTGCCTGCCACTTCTATCCCATCCAAATCTATCAAAATCTATCATCAATGCCACAGTAAGTTGGAGTTTATCACCGCTTACCACAGGCAATAGGATTTGCTTCTTGCTGCTTGACAAGCAAGTGATGTAGCTCTAGACTGTATCCTAAGGATCTGCTTCCTAGTATTACTTCTGGTACCAGAATTGTGTAATTGACCCCAAGAAATATCAGTAACAGGGTGGAAAAGGCAGACAGGGACAGTAAGGCTGTCTATAAAGGGCATGTTGTCAAATGAGCTTTGGCAACTATGGGCAACTGGAGCTAAATGCACTAAGGGGAACTCTGGAACACCAAGTGTGCACATTCCTGAGGTATCGCTTCTGAGAGGTGAGGAAGCTGGGGTATTCATTTATCAGCTCCCATCTGCCATTGGTAGAGGCAAGTCCTGGAGGAAGAAAGAGGGCTATTAACTCCCCCACACTTCCAGCTTGCCGCAATGTATAGGGACTGAAAAAACTGGGGGTAGGAGAAAACTCTCAGGCAAGATTTACAAGTGCTGGCACTCAGAAGTTGATCCTGTATGCCCAGATGCAGGAAAGGCTGAGGCACCGTGGGAGTGGCCTGCTACCGTGTGCAGGGATTATATATGAATACCAATTAATAGTTAACATTTATTGAGTGATTAATATGAACCAAGGGCAGCTCTAAGCGCTATATGTGTATTTCATGTCTTTCTCACAGCATGCGGATAGTAATAGGAGTTACCTGTTACTACCCTCATTTTCCAGATGGAGAATCTGAGGCTCAGAGGTGGTAAGCAATTTTCCCAAGGTCATTCAGCTATTTAGTGGAGGTTCTTGGATTCAAAATCAGGGACTCCTCATCTTTCCAGAACATGGAGGACTATGATGCAACTGACAGTAAGTCACCAGCAGACACTGGCTGAGTTAGAGTTTCTTTAATAGCAAAGGCTTAAACATCATAGAGGCAGCTAAACAAAGCAGAAAACCACATAGCATGCTCTTGGTTGTCGGTACTGGTTTGCCAGGTGTCTGAGTGTGCATGAGGATTTACAGCTGCAAATAAGAACAACTATCTGGAATTAGACTTTCAGCAGGCATGAGAAGGTACTATTCCGTGTGCACAGGCTTTTTACAACCTCCACGTCCCACCCTTATGCTATCTAAAATGATTCTAAGGTCTCTAGCTATATATGTATGTACCTCAGCACATTTCTGAGGATTGATTGCAAGATTGGATGAATCAATTGTCAGTTTTCTAAGTGTGGTGTCATTCAGCAGGTCTAGGCTTCAGACGTGTATGAGGTTTTCCTTTCCAAGGGGAAGAATGAGGAAGTGAGAATAAATCTCTTGAAGCAAAGACACAATAAGAACTAGAAATGCAAATGTCTCAGAGGCCAGTCAAGTATCAGAAAATGCGGAAAGCAGGCTCAGTGCAAGATAATAGGAATAGTGAGGACTGAGGCAAAAAAGCCAGCATATTCCCCGTCTAAAAGTGGCAGTGGCTACTCAGCTCAGCCAAGTACAGTAGTATCCCTTTATCTACCAAGATATGTTCCAAGACACTCCCCTCCCAGTGGATGCCTGAAACCATGGATAATACTGAACTCTCTATATACTGTGGCTTTTGTCAGTCTAATAACTAAGACAGCTATTAAGTGACCAATGGGCAGGTTGCATCTATGCTGAACAAAGGGGTGATTCACATCTCAGACAACATAGAGTGGGACTTGGAGATTTCATTACACTACTCAGAACAGTGTGCAATTTAAACTGTATTGTTTATTTCTGGCATTTTCCACTTAATATCTTCAGACTATGGTTGCCCACAGGTAGTTCAAACTATAGAAAGTGAAACTGTGGGTAAGGGGGTACTACTGTTGTACCATTTGGCAATGTGGCCCATTGCTTTTAGATGATCAACAATTTCAAAAGTTGAAAATACGAAGTTCTATGGGTAGTTTTCTAATTTTCAAATGTCAGTAGCTAATTTACAATCATTTAAAATATTATGTGGGCTAATTTGTGAGCTCTGCCTTAATATTTGTAAGATAATAATAATTGCCACTGGAAATGGAATTCTGCCTGGCTGTGACCCCTGAATGATAGAAATAGAACCCATAAGTGGCAGTTACAGAGAAATAAGCCTTGGTTCAAAATAAGAACACATTTCCTAATAATATTACTCAAAGTCAGAGTGTTCTGTTGTAGGGAATGAGTTGCTCATTTCTATATGTGTTCAAGAATCAATTGGTTGACATCTTTGCCAGAACTGTGTAAAGGAAGACTAGACATGAGACAGATGGGATGTTACCCTTCACATCTCCCTTCAAACCTGAGCTCCTTTGAATCAAAAGCCGTACTTCTTCACGAAGGTTTTAATTCAAGCTGGACTGGCATTCAGAATGAGCCTTCTGGTTTTACTTTCTGTGTCATACGTAGAACACATGTGTGTCCTTTCTGGTCTGTTAATATAGGATGGGATTGGAATGCCTTTTCCAAGGGAAAATGTTTCAAAGGCTGATTATTACTATTTTAGACTTCCTATCTCTTGGATTTGCCTTGCCCTGAGTTGGCCTGTGCTTCTTCAAATCCACTCAGCAAAGTTCAACTTGGCTTGGCTGTGTCTCTGCTGGTATTATTTTCTATGGAAATAAATGCACACAGACTCTGATAATTTATACACACTCAGATGTAACCATAAGGAGAAACCAACACTTTATATTTTTAAATTGCCATAAATCTGGGATCTGGAAATGAACAATTTTTCTTCCTCTGAACACATATATTTGCCAATATTGGTACTTTCTGTACCCTCAAAAACATTGACTATATTAATATAACACTGAAAATGTGAACATTTAAGCAAAAACTATTTGGCCAATTAAACCAGATACAACAATTAATTCAATGACAAAAATAAGTCAAGCAAGTCAGCTTTGGCACATGGAGGCATCAAGACACCAGCGTCTGTTTTATTTTTGACGGCCGCGTCTGGTCCTTATATATTCATCTAACACTTTCAGTAGATCTTGACTTCAGTATGAAACTTGCTCACATTTTCAGATCTATAAAGGACAGATTTTAACCATTATTCTGAAAAGGCTTTTTATTCCACAAGAAAATGAAGAGGAAAAAAGACTGCTTTATACTAAAATACTTATTTCAGCCTTGAAGCTAAGCCCTAGCCATTCTCAGATGCTGGAATACTTGGGTTTGGGAGATCTTTACTGCATGGTTCTTGGCCTGGAGCCTCAGCATGCTAGAGAATCCACTTGAATGTTCTGTTTTTCAATCATTTGTTTGCAAAGTCTAATCTGGAAGAGGAATTAATATTATTAAGGAGCTTTTATGTGCAAGAGCTGTGCCAAGCGCTTAACATACACTGTCTTGTTTAACCCTCACGACGACCAGTGGGGCAGGCATTTCTATCCACATGAGAAAGCAGGCTCCCGAGCTTCAGAATCAAATCAGAGCTTGGGACTCAGGGCAACCAGCTCCAAGATCACACAGGTGTTTGTTTGTTTGTTTGTGTTTGTTTGTTTCAGCATAAGACAAATGATGGGGGAAAGGAGAAAAGAAATCTTGTAACTTAGGTAATCGAAAATAAAATTTCAAGAACCATTTATGAAACTATCTCTTGGAATCATAATACCAGTTACACATTAAACTTAACCATAGGGAGACTGAGTACAAACATTTAGCGATTAGCCTTATGGTAAATCTGTGAGATTGAAACTTTCTAAATCTTATTGCAGATGGTGCTAGCTACTGACTTTGACTTTCGGCTGTTAGACTGATCATTAGCAAATAACTTATGAACGCACATCAGCTTTGAGTGAACTTTGCTATTTTTCTTTGCCCTGATTTGTTACGATCTATGCCTTCTTTGGTAACCCCGATGATCACTCAAAGTAGGACTTTGAGCAGATATCCTAAGGCCGATATCCCAATTCTGCATCTGTGTTTTCCCTTGAGGTTTAAACAGTATGTTGAATCAACATTCTATCAAGAGCCTTTTCAGTGCTTTCTACCAAGAAGTTCTTAGTGAGAGCTGCATTCAGTTCAACTTTCTTTCTCGGTTCCTTTCCCTACCCTGGTTTAGTGTGTTGAAAAAATCCTTTCGCATCAGCATTTATGCAGCATATAATTTTTTTACTCTCATCCAACAGGCACATTTGGATTTACTATTTCACTTGAACAGTTGGTGTTTACTGGCAGCAACAAGAACAAAATTTATAGCAGCAAATGGAAGCTGAACTCGCATGCTGGCTTTGCACTGAAGAACTTTGTGTCTGCCATTTCCTAATTGTGAAAACAGTATGTCCAAGATTTTGCAGTCATCAGCATTCTGATGTAACGACTTCCATCTGGTCAAAGGAAGGAATTCAGAACCGCTATCTCCTTTTGAATTCTACTCCAATGCAAAGGTAATGCTTAGGAGGATGTTGGAAGTCAGAAGAAATTCACACAATACATTCTGAAAAGTGGCTATCACATCCACTTTTCCAGGGGATAATTTTCCTGAAGAGCAAACAAGGGTAGGGAGAGAGTTTGTCACGATCTTCTTAATGAAAGCAGCTCTAACTGGAGTAAGATGATAGGATTACTTGGAGGTGAGAGAGGATAAAGAAAGCAGGATGATTTGTGGCGTGTTCCAATCGGAGGTAATAAGAAGTCAGAGATCCACAGAGACCAGGCAATTGGAGAACAATACCGAGGCAATGGAGGTCAACAACGTGGTAAGAAAAAGTAGTTTAATATCCCATTTCATCCCATCTGGCATTCAGAATTGGCACTGGTTATTGAAATATGAAGCTTCTGATGGTCCTCACACTTCTGCAGTGACCTTCCTCACTCATTAGCCAGGAGTTGAAACTGAAAGAAATGTAGCATGTTATCTCAAGTGCTTGCTTTGCATTTTTTATATTCATTGATTCAACAAATATTTACTGAGCACTAGATTGTATTTTAGGAACGGCATTAGGTACTGGAGATGATGGGCTAACACATTTCTTAACTACTCATTATAGATAATTACATGAGAAGCAAAAAATATGCATAGAAGGGCCATAATTTTGAGCTCAAACAACCCGGGAAGAAGACTTTTCTATAGCTAACTATCTTTATACTTTATATTAACCTTTTTCTTCATACTTAATAGTCGTCCTTTTCTTCCTGAAATGAGAAGGGAAGGAAAACAGAATTCTAGAAATATCCTTACGGCTGCCGTTCACTCTATGGAGAAAGTGAGCTCTTGATAGGAAAGGGATTCTATCCAGGAGAGGGATCTTACAATTCCTAAACAGTGACAGCATCATGGACACATTTGTTCCCAGAGTCATAAGCCTGCATACAGTAGGCATTCAGTTAATAGGCACTGATTGGCCTAACAGAGGAAGCTGGGCTTGATTATGAAATAAACTAGGCTATGAAATCATGCCTCCTAAAAGCTCATTAAAGGCGGAAACATGGGATGGGGCCTGTAAGAAAGTTGCCTCCTGCCTGCCTCCCTCCTCAGACACACATAATCTGCAGATGTGAAAAGGACCCAGACTCTGACCACATGTGGCCTCCAGGTCTGGGCAGTAGGGCCTTGCCCCCACCCTCACGGAGATTGTGGGCTCTGTCACAGAACTGCTGCTCTGTCTCTGACTCCCCTCACTCTCATAGTTTGTTGGAAACTCAAGCTGTGAATGAAACCACAAAACGCAGCGAGGAAAGGGTGAACTATTGCACATACTCAAGCTAAGTAGTCTCAGTTTATTCCATTCTTGCAGGATCATTGTAGGGAGGCATAATGAGTTCTGCTTACCAGTGAGCCATTGAACACAAACTCCCTTCTCACCTCTGCCTCGGATCCCACCATGCCTGAGGTCTAGGGCTAGAAACGTTGTTTCATCCACATTAATTCAGGTCTCAGGCAACGTGGCTATTTTCTGACCTGTCTGTCTTCCCACCCTAGTGGTGAATTCTCTTTCTGAGATCTCAACTCCTTCTCTTGTCACCCAGCTTTTTCCGAGCATCTCCAATCTATCTGGCACAACATTCGAAATGTTAAACCTAAAAGGGAAAGCCATTCTGTGAATGTGTTTATGTAACAGGATATTAAAATGAGACTTTTCCTGTTGTCTCCGTGCTAGCTGACATCTTTGAGCTGAGAAAAAATGTTAAAAATGCGAATCTATTCTCAAGAGATGTCATCTGCTAAGGAGTGACCAAAAAAATGGTCCAATAACCCTGAAACTGTGTCACAAATCCCAGGTGTATGAGGGGAGACTTGTAAATTAATGAAGAAGGTTTAATCATTATGAAGAGGATTTCATCAGACAGAGCTTTCAGGCTACTGAAATGCTTCCTCCTCCCCTCTCGTGTTTTCCCCTCATTTTACACTTGAAGAGCTATCACATGAAGAGCTAACCTGGAACCGCTAGGCTTTGGGGAACACAAACAGAATGTATTCGTGTCTATTGCTGCTGAAACAGATTAACACAAATTTAACAGCTTAAAAATAGCAAAATTAGGACCTCACAGTTCTGTAGGTCGTTAGTCCAGTGGGCGCAGCTGGTGTCTGGGCTTCAAGCCTCGCAGGGCTGAAATCAAGGTGTTGGCCGGGCTGCACTTCCTTCTACAGGCTCTAGGGGAGCATCTGTTTCCAGGCTTCTGCACCCTTGCGGGCTGTCAGCCGGGGAATGCCAATGGCTCCTTGCAGCCTCTCTGATTCTCGTACAAGGGCGCCTACGTCTCAGAGCCAGCGAGAGAGTGTGGAATCCTTCTCATTAGGCAGCATCTCTCTGACTCTCTCTCCGCATCAGTCGGGAAGTGTTCTCTGTTTTTAAAGACTCATGTAATTATTTTGAGCCTACCCGATAATCAAGGATAATCCCCTCATCTCAAAATCTGTTACCTTAACCACATCTGCAAAGTCCCTGTTGCCATGTAATGTAAACTATTCACAGGTTCTGGGGATTAGGGCAAGGACATCTTTGGTGGGGGTCTTATTCAGCCTATCACGTAGAGATTAGTACCTGAAAAGCCAGAAGGTGAGAAGCTAAATAGAGCAGCTGGAGGCAGCTAAAGGAGAAAGGGGGTGAGAGCTGGAGAAGTCCAGCTTCCACCGATGCTCAGCAAAGGGGCTGTTGCCCCAGAGGACTCGGGGAAGGAAGCTGGGCTGTCCGCCGAAAATGGGGCTGCACTCAAAAGACTGCCAGGAGAGGCAAGGAACCCCAGCAGGAGGAAGTCAGAGGTGGGGAAGGGGAGGTCATAAGCTGGAGGAGACACGTGTGGTAGGAAATTGCAATGGGAGCTCCCTAGTGGAGGTGTTTCAGAAGAACTCTGAAGATGCCTCTTGAGAAAATTATCAGCCGGGCCAGGCACGGTGGCTCACGCCTGTAATACCAGCACTTTGGGAGGCTGAGGTGGGCGGATCACGAGGTTCGAGACCAGCCTGGCCAACAATTACTAAAAATTAGCCGGGCGTGGTGGCACTGTGCCTGTAGTCCCAGCTACTCAGGAGGCTGAGGTAGGAGAATCGCTTGAACCTGGGAGGCAGAGGTTGCAGCGAGCTGAGATAGCACCATTGCACTCCAGCCTGGGCAACAAGAGTGAAACTGTGTCTCAAAAAAGAAAAAAAAAAGAAAAGAGAAAAGCATCAGCCATATAACACTATCAAATCACAACCTTGCCTTTCCTTCCTACTGCTGTTCCGATGTGAGAAAACCCAAAGGCAACAGAAGAGCCAAAGAAGAGTGGCAGAAATGCAAGGCAGGGCTGTCGTGCCCTGGTGCATCTTGCTGCTGCCCTGCAGCTTCCTACTACCTGGCCATGCGCTGCTTCCCCTCCATGCCCTGCTCAGGTGGGGCTAGGCTAGGGACACAGAAAGCTTTGAGTTGGGTGAGCAATTGAAGCTTTGATTAGACTACACTGGACCTTCAAGATCTCAAAATGCAGAGTATTTGTTAGTAACTGAAAGATGACATAAATGTTAGATCTGCCTAGGACTTTATCGCCAAATAAGGAAACAAGTTCATCAGGCAGTTCTAAGAAAGAATAGAATTGCTTCCTGCTTGCCCTTTTTTGTTTAATTAGACCAGATTCACAAATTTCCTAACCCTTCTCTTGCAGTGTGCAGGTTCTGATTAAACCAAGGGCTATCTCAAAAGAAGGGCCAAACATCTTCATTAACAGGAACTCAAACCCTTGTTTCATTGAAATGTTTTGTTACAGCTTAATGACCACAGTTGCAAAGCCAGAATATTCAGTTTTTATATATTATTTACTAGAAAATGCCCTCTTGGTACCACATTGAACATAGTAAATTCTCTGATAATTGACACTATACAGAAAGAGTACTTTGAATAATCAAAGAAGCCTAATGTTTTTTGATCTCTAATTCTTGGGCTACCTTTTCTGTGATGTCAGGGAAAGAGCATTAGTCTGGTTATTGTTCTAGAACTGGGTCTCCCACTAACTGTATACACACGGGCAGATCATTTTACATTTTTGAGCATCAATTTCTTCATGTGTAAGGGGTCACAACAATGTCTGCCCTGCCTTGTTCATAGGATTGTAGGGAGAATCAAATGACATAATGGTCATGAAAATATATTTCTAAGTTGTAATCTGTATATATAATAAGGTATTACTAGTAATTGAACATTTATATATATTCCGTAACAGGTTGTAAATTTTTAAAGAGACCTAGTATACCATGCTTAATGGACTATTTTTTGAAAGACACATCAAAAACTGTTGACAATAATTGCCTCTAGGTAGAGACATGATGAGAGTGATGGGAAGGAGGCAGACTTATTTTTCACTCAATTTCTTTTTGTATCTCTTGAATTAATACCACACACACACACACACACACACACAAACACACACACATTGTGCATTTAAACCAATAAATTTAATAACTATTTGAGCCATTAGAGAAAAAAGATATATTTATTCTGAATAATAAATTGAAAATAATCTAATCTTTCTGTAAAATGGCTTCTTAGGATCTTTACTACCAGGTTTAAGTGAGATGATTTTGTTGATGCAACCAGCACAGAACTTGGCACAACAGTGGATATTCCAAAAGTGGTAGAGCACTTTGCCTTGAGGCCGTATCATATGACTACCCACTCCCAGTGAATTAGCTATATACAAGGATGTAGTTAATGGGTTGCTGGATATTAGAAAGTTTATTGGATTTTACCAGGATGTTGGACACAGATGGTAAGTGGAAAATGCCAGAAAGTTGATGAATCATCTGGTAAACTAGTGGAAAAGGTAAATGAAGCCAGAAGGAGGCCAGAGAGGGCAAGGAAACAGAACAGGTCTGGAGAAAGGCAACTACACTCATTATATCACGTAACCCACTTTTCAGTTGCTGATGTTTCCAGAATGGTAAGTACATTTTGCAAATTGGAGATATTCTGAA